TGATGCCGTTTATATAGAGTGTAAGAGAAATCTACAATAGAAACAAACATCTTTATCTTCTTTATAATTTTGCGTAGAAGAAGGGTGGAAATATAATCACTATGGTACCGTAGTTATTTTCTTAAAACACTGGATTGATTTTGGAGATCGATACTCGGCTTGTATAGCGATTTTTACTCAACCACCGCAATGCTTTTATTAAACCTAATTTTTAACTTGCGAAGTGTCTCGGTCTTCTTCTTCCTCTTCACATTTTATTTTAGTTCGATAAAGGAAGCAAATAGACCGCAAACTGCAGTTACAAAAAGTAAAACAAAAACACAAATAAACCCAGAGCTGGGCAGTATTCGATTTTGATTCAAATCCTTTAAAGTATTCAAATACTTTGTAATTAAATACTTTTATGGAAGCAGTATTTGTTTTTGTAACTCAATTACTTTCACAAATATTTAGTATTCGAATACTTCGCATAGTATTTGAATACTTAACCTTCCTTTTTTTACCAAAAATCGACTACACCAAAATTTCTCGGGAAAACACTTTTTCTTATTAATTTTGGTGCGTAGAATCCAAAACAATTCGTACTTTTTCGATTAGATTTTTCAATCAAAAGTTATAGACTAGAAACCAATTTCGAAAGAAAATTCAAAGGGCTGTAACTTTTGAACTAGTAGCCCAATCTTGGAACTGTTTGAAATTATGGATTCTACAGGCCACATTCTATACGTAAATTTTTTTTCCCGGTCGATCTGAGACAATTTTTTTGCGAGTCTCAAAAAAAGGCAGTGTATAACCTTCCTTTTTTTTACCAAAAATCGACTACACCAAAATTTCTCGGGAAAACACTTTTTCGAATTAATTTTGGTGCGTAGAATCTAAAACAATTCGTACTTTTTCGATTAGATCTCCCAATAAAAAGTTATACAGGGTGTTTTTTTGGGAGCTTTAGTTAAAAGTTTCTGGGAAAGTAAAATAGGTAGGTTTTTGAAAATTTGTACTTAGGAGTTACTCTGAAGGCCGAATCGATGTAAAATATTTTCAAAATGGCCGCATTTCCGGAAACACCGGAAGTAGATAGTAACTTCGTTATTTTAAATGGCAACCCCTATTTTTTATTGCATTTTTGGATTCTATGTGAAATTTCAGTTCTTTTGATACCCATATGTCGATATTTGCCATTTATGGTTTTTAAGTTATTTTGACTTTAAGAAAAAAAATGGCGGATGCAGATGGTACCTTGATAATTGATTACTTGAAAACGGTTGTAGTCATGGCAACCTATTTTTATCAGTGAATAGAGAATGAATAGGGCTTTCTTTTAGTGCACTTAAAACAAAGTTAAGTTGTATACAACCGCCCCTATGGAGATCCAAATTTAAGAAACTTCAAAGTCTATAAACTCCGTTTTTTTAAATGGAATGACCATGTTCTTAATATTGCATGAGATAGAGAATCGAAATTGGCATATTTTGACTATACATGTTCCTATAGCTATCTTTAACAGTTTCTGACTTATTCCCATTTTATTGAATTGACACTATTTTTTTTCGGATTTTCTTTTTAGTAGTCGGCCATGATTCTATAACAATTGAATTTTAAACAAATCTAGTGACACTAATCCATCACCCACTGTTATAGGCTAACATAAGTTTTTCAAAAATCGAAAAATGACTCGCAGTGGTTTCACCTATTTTGGAATTTAATTGTTATTTATGGTGAAATGGGCAGAATCGCGGCGCGTGCTTTCCGTACATTCACTCAAAAACTGGAACGAAATTGTATGAATTTTGGAAATTTTGTACCCCTAATGCACTACAAACCGTTGAAGCACAAGTGATACAAAGCTCACTAGAGAATATTTAAGAAAATGAATTGAATTGCAAATGCAAGATTAACATATTAAATTCAATGCAAAATATAAAAAACTTCGTTGAACATTTTTGGTATGGAAATTGTTGCTAGAACAGATATCNATTGGCAGATATCGACATAGGGTATCAAAAAGACTGAAATTTTTCACATAGAATCCAAAAATGCAATTAAAAATAGGGGTTGCCATTTTAAAATAACGAAAAGGTTACTATCTACATCCGGTGTTTTTCCCGGAAGTGCGGCATTTTGAAATAATTTTTGCTATTCGTTGGATTTCGGCCTTCAGAGTAACCTCCCTAAGTTACACAATTTCAAAAACCTACCTATTTTACTTTTCCTCAGAAACTTTACTCTAAAGCTCCCAAAACACCCTGTAGCTAGAACCAATTTGGAAAGAAAAATTTCAAAGGGCTGTAACTTTTTGATCTCGTATCCCAATCTTGAACTTTTTGAATTTGGATTCTACGGCCACATTCTATAAGAAACAAAAAGGCAGTGTATTCTCCTTTTTTACCAAAAAATCGACTGCACCAAAATTTCTCGGGAAAACACTTTTTCTTATTAATTTTGGTGCGTAGAATCCAAAACAATTCGTACTTTTTCGATCAGACTTCTCAATCAAAAGATAGACTAAAAACTAATTTTAAAGGAAAATTCAAAAGGTTGTAACTTTTGAACTAGTAGCCCAATCTTGGAACTTTTTGAAATTATGGATTCTACAGGCCACATTCTATAAGAAAATGTTTTTTCCCGGTCTATCTGAGTCAATTTTTTTTGCGGGCCTCAAGAAAAGGCCTCCCCTTAAATTTGTATATAACAATAGAAATATAAAAAAAGCTAACCCCATACAAAGTATAAATTGATTTTTTAAGTAGTATTAAGCCTTTTATCTAGTAAACTATTTTAAATTTTTAATGTATTTGTGTGACAAGTATTTGAATACTTTTCCAAGTATTCGAGTACTTTTTATAGTATTCGAATACCTTTGATAGTATTAGAATACTTTTGAAAGTATTCGAATACATTCTAAAGTATTTGAATACTTATTTTTTAAAGAATTTGAATACTTTTCAATGTATCAGTATCTAGTATTCGCTTGTGCTAGACGTAAAAGTATTTAGTATTCAAATACCTTTGATTTGTGTAAAGTATTTACTATTTAGTATTAAAATACTTTTTGAAAGTATTCTGCCCAGCTCTGAATAAACTACAGTAAAATATTAAAAAATTGGACGCATTCCAACAGGAAAATGGTCATAATCAGCAAACGAAACAGGAAATATTACGCCTGATAGTTGTTTGAGGGTCTTTTACACAATTTTTAGTCGGGGCTAAAATCTGTGAAAAGCTTTCCGTTTCCATGCAAAAAGTATTTCATGTAACACTTGAGTTAAAACCGATATCCCCCTATTTCAACCCCGCTGAATCCGAAAATTTCGTTTCTCAACTCAAAATTCCAACCGGAAGTGAGTTATTCGAAATGGCGTCCAAAATAGCTTAAATTAACAGTTTTTTGTATAAAGGGAAGTAAATGGAAAATTTGTACAGCTATTGTAGTATGACAAGACCCGACTATTTACTTCTTCCCCCCTTTCTGTCTATTATTAATCTTCTTATATTGTAATTAAATTGGGGGTGGTTCTAGTTATGACATTAATATGCCTCAGCTGCTCATCGGCTAATAATAATCCTCTTTTGGCCTCTTAAGGAAGGATAAAGGGATAAAAATTAAGTCAATAATCTTTATTAAAATTTGAGAAATATCTCGAGATTGAACTCGGCTCGCTCTTGTGTAATTACAATGACCCGTCTCATTCAAATATTAGCAGAATAAAAAACTAAAATAAAATAAAATAAAATAAAATAAAATAAAATAAAATGAAACAAAATAAAATAAAAACGTGCATTAAACATCTACAAAAACTATAAAAATCATGATTTCATATAAAACAGCTCGGGCTGTATATAGAAAACTTATGCTAGAATGCTGAAGAAAATCTTGGGGGGACATCAACCATAACGTCAGATTCTTCAATAACATTATAACATCTTGAATCAATTAAACAGTTGGGGTATTAGGGGTAATTTAAGTCAGCACCGTGGACTATCTGCACATCTTCCTATATTCCTAGTAAAATGTTGTTGATTATTTTTATCTCAATAGGAATCTTTCATAAATAGCTACCAGGGACATAAATGAATCGTTTTCAATCTTTTCCGATGTGTATTTTCGGTACGAGCGATCGCAAACCGTTCCGATAGATCCCACAAACATTTTTTTAATTAAAATAAATCCCCCTAACAAACATTAGAGCATCGCGTTTCGACAAAATTTCATTTTCATCTGGGTGTTACTAAAGGTATTTAAGATAACGGCAGTGACAAAGCGTAGGGACATATAAAGCAAATCTGTCCCCGCCACCCTAAAGTGTAAGCTTCATACCCGGATAATCTTATTTGCAGTTTCCTTTCTAATTTTTCCACTTATCATATCACGTACCTACGTCTAGTGAGAATGTAATTTAATTTTCCGTAACTGTACGGGACGTGATCGTATAAAAGTCCTTTAAGTTTATAGTTTATTTTAATGAAAACGGCCAATTGTCGAGGATCGAGGTGGGAACCGAATTACATCGAATTTTCAAGTTTGTCAAACTAATTTAGCATCAATTCTCCCTTGTATTACCTTTGTTAAGGATTGTCCCAATTGCCTTCGAGGGGCGGACCATTACAACTTTATCTCGGTGCCCTTTCCCGACGTAATAAAATTTAACCGTGATTAATCGTTTTGCGCGCAGGAAAAAAAAATTGAAACATTTCCCTCTTTGCGTGTTGATTTAAGCGCAAATTTAAATTTTCGATTCGGAAAATGGAAAGCGAAAGAGTCGAGGGCGCGATAGGGCACGCTCGCCTAAATGAAAGGCTTTTGTAGGTTTTTAAAGTTTAATTTAATTTGCGCGTTGTAAGTTTGAGTCGACATACCCGTTGTGTTTTAATAGGAAAAAGGGCCACCAGTACAGGTAATTTGAAGTGATTTTGGTGGTAAGTGGGGGTGGTGTTGCCATTGCGTCTGTCGGGATAACGGCGAACACAGCTTCAAACAGGATTCAGTTTCGCGTCATCTTCTGATAAGAGCGACGCTTTTTGGGGGCGTCCAAAACTTTTCGAACGTAACTGTGAGCTTTTGCGAACTTATCGTTAATGATGCGCGATTTATCTCAAGATTTCAGTATCTCATTTGACGCAGTTAATGTGCTTACAAGTTTAATGCTGATGTAGATATGGAAATTTTTCGTACCCTGGGATTTATTCTGTTGTTGGACATTGTGTTCATTAATGGTTCGTTTTTCACATTTTTAATTTTAAAAACGCGTACACGTTGCGGCAAACCATAACTTTTCTTCTTCTGAAATATTGTTGTTAGTGTTATTGCCTGTGTATATATTTCGAAAGGGGTTGCGTAGTAGATATATAGAATGATTAATATTGTTTTCGGGGCCCAATATATACTCAAATAAATTCCCATTTATCTCACTTAAACAACGGTTTGCACTCGCGTGTGTGCGCTTTTCTGTAGCGTTATAACTTTCTAACAAATATTGATTTCGCCTCATTTATATAAATTTTCCAATTTTCCAAACAGACACCAAAATCCAATTTTAAAACCTTAGTGTAATCTACGAGCTTTTCTCTCTTTAGAAAATTGCAAAGTTGGAGGAAGCATTTTTTTTCGATATATTTGGTGGTTACGTGGTAAACCATAACGGATATTACAAATTTGATGTCAAGCGGATTTTTTAGGGATGAATTCCATTTTTTAAATTATTGTATTTTTATACTGCATCAAGGGTAAAAATACGCCTGAAAAATGTTTGGCTCACTGACGCAAAGCATTGGTCAGCAGTAACGTATACATTACCAGTTGAGGCAATCATTAGAGAGTGAAGTCAGCGAGAGGGTTAATTATCTAATTAACGGACAAGTCGATACTTGTTTGAAATAACAACATTACTGACATCTGCAACTAAGTGGTAATTTATTTATTACTTACATTATGAAATTAGATCGTGAAACGGGCTCCATTTTCTTCCAACATACACTAAAATACTTGTAGTTCAGGCGTCAGAGATATTTTTGTTGAAAAAATTCCTAGGGAAGATTTTTTTTCGTCAATTGCTTCGTTTTATTTTCATGAACAACCCCATAATTTCTTCCAAAAATTAGGCCTGGAAATATATTTTTTTTCAGCTTGACCAAAAAAATGGGTCCATTTCGTGTTTTATTGCAAAATAACTCAATAAATATCGTTTTTACGTAAAAATACTCGCGTATGAAAATAAAGAGAAGAAAATTTTCAACAATTTTTTTTGTAGATCCCATAAATCCGCGACTAGCTGCTAATAACGGTGTCATAACCACCGATGCGCTCTCGCATGCACTCTCCTTACGGATCCTATTTTAATCTCGGGCTCAGGATAAAATGTATGTTGTAAAGGATTGGGTATTTTACTAAATTAGGAATTTTTGGAAATATCCAGCGATGTTTCACGTGCCGGGAAAGGAGGGTAGTTTATCAGAACTTTCGCACCCCGGGCGGTAACTAAGGTACAAACCTCTGGAAGCACAAGATACCAAGAGAATTTATCGTCAGTGTAGCTAATTTAGAACGACAAGGGGAATAAAGAAGGAAGAGGGAAATATGTATTTACACTTAATTTATTACTAAAAAACAGAAAATTTTATTTTCTAAAACCTCGCCCCTCCTTTGTTATTTTTTTTAAGTAGTGGCTCAATTAGCGCCACCGCCACGCGTAATGCCTTCAATTTCGACACCTTATTAAAAATTTATAATCCAGCGATGACAATCAGAGTAATATTTTATAAATAACCTGTTAAGAACCGTAAAAAACCGAAAAGAACCCAAAAAAGTAATATGGGTTCCGGTTCTCAATACGTTTCTATTTCTGAAGGAATAACGGTTTCGGTTCCGTTTTCGGTCCAGAAAAAAATACCGGTTTCGGTCCGGTTTTCGGTCCAGAAAAAAATACCGGTTTCGGTCCGGTTTTCGGTTCTTTTTCGGTCCGGTCCGGGTCCCTGTTAAGAAGTAATCGAGATGGGATTGACGGGAACGTGGTAAAGATTAGAACTTTAGAAAAACTTAAAGAAGCCTTGACAAACTTTTGTCAATAAATTTCAGAAGTTTGAATTATACATTCCGGATCAAGATCGAAACAACATGATTGCCTTATTACGAGATTTCTAAAGACTTCTAACACAAAATTACCCATATTGAATTCATATTGAAATCATTAATAGAATTAGAAATAAACTATAGGTGCGGTCAATTTGACAGGGGTCATTGAAGCTTTGCCAATAGTATTCGCTTTAAAGGAATTATATTACATATTACCTATATGGGTAAAAATTTATTCTGTATTTAGACATTTGTCCTTTGACTCATATTTTCAATGAAAATTCAAAACTTTCAGCTATGACTTCGTCTAAGTTTTTTTGTTCATACAAAACAAGTTGTAAATCAGCATATGCATGATTAAAGCGCATTTTTGGTAATACAGATCAGTATTTTATTAGCAAAGTTTAAAATTATCGATCTCACGAGTAATTTTGGCTGCGTTAAATAATTCATTTTATTTAGTTTCAATTGACGGTACGTCTATATTTTGTCAAACAAATCACAAAGTAAATAATTAAGTTTTTATACTGGTAGCGCTATCTAACGGTAAAATTATAGCACCTTCGAAAACCATATCGAAATTATTTTCTTAAATTATCGATCTCACAAGTAATCTAACTCAAAATAGACTAGAGCCTGCACATCTACACTATAGCAGAAAGCTTTTAGTGGAAATTTGAAGTCTCTAGCTATTGTAGTTGCTGAGATCTCACCCGGACAGCCGGCCAGCCGGCCATAACGAATATAGTAGCGTATCTTTTTTAAAAAATGCGCTAAAAATAACGTATTTCCGGGTCAAAATTTTGGAAGAAATTTTTATGGGGTCGTTTGTAATGTTAAAAAGATGCAATACCGAAATTTGTCGCAATTGTTGCGTTGGGAAGCACCCCTTAAGTAAGGTAGGAATCATAAATTTAATTTAATTTCTTCCGCGTACATCCGACATGTCAAAGGTTTCAAACTAACTTTTAGTACGGACGTACCCGAAGAAGTAATATTAACAAGGGGTTCCACAGGGGGTCAATATCGGACCCGTTATTGTTTTCAATCTACATCAATGACGTGCCTTTCTATCTGCCAAATAATAGATATTAAGTGTGTACTGTATGCTAATGACGCTACTCTAATCTCGACCGACGACCACTACACCGTAGACCGTACCCATAGGGGTATAAACACCACCGCCAATAATTTGTGGGATGTTCACTAGATACATATTTGAACTATATAATGATCATGGCAATACAATTTCAAGAAAAATTAGTACAGTCATTTTTGTTTTACGAAGGTTAACATCGCTGCTTATTACTCAATAATTCACAATATACTAAGTTATGCTATTCTGGTCTGGAGACACAGCCCTTCGGCGAAAAAAATGTTTAAACAATGTAGGGCCATGCGAGTAATAACGGGAATGCACTATCAAGACGATTGCTACCAGTGTTTTGTTGATCTTAGTATTCTGGCACCTTTATTTATCTACATTTTAAAAGCACTCAGCTATGCTAAGAAGAACTTGCACAAATTCTGCATCCAGTCAAACTTCCACACATACGAAACGAAAAAAAATGAAAAACTAGCGCATTTTCCATGATCATTGATTAGTATTTCCCGAAAGGTCATGTAACGGACTATTTATGTGTACCTACCAAGGAAAATAAGTTATGGCGTAAATATTCTAATAAATAAAAACTTATCATAGCGCAATCTGCGTATGCGCACACCTGATGTTTAAAATATGCGATATGTTTCCCTTTACTATATAGAAGCAAGCATCTGTGGTTAAAATAAAAATATCTCAGTAAATAAGAAAGATTATTTTGATTTTTACATTATCATATACCTATGCTTGTCTTTTCTAGAAGTATCTGTCTTATAGAAAATTTAAACAGAGAGAAAATACTTACTGAGGGAAAGCAATGTAGAATTAGAAATTATTGTTCTATTCTTGATAAAGCTAAGAGGGTAAAGAAATTAAATGGGTTGAACATAAGCAAAAAATGTGTTCAAAGAATAGAACTATAACAAAGGGCTTCCAAACGTTACAAATAGAAAATATATGAGTCTTACTCAAAACCAAAACTTAAATTCAAAAGTACTTGACAAAACGGGATCAACTCGTACTTAGAAAATACTTACAGTATTAATTGATTAACACAAATAAAAACCAGTAAACCAATATCTTGACAGAACAGCTTCCTAGCGCAAAGCAAATATTAAAACAATAGTATATTGAAAGACAAGTGTTACAATGCGACCTATTGTAATACGACTATCTTGTGGCACGAGTGGCGACGCGAAGCGTAGCCACGAGTGTCCGCAAGATAGGAGTATTACAATAAAGCATTGTAACACGCGTTTTTCATACTATTTTTTCTATTTCGGTGCTTTAATTTAATTAAAAAAATCATTATCAGAAACTATAGGGAACATTAGAACTAACATGTTTTATGTTGGGAACACTTTTTATGCCGTTAAGTTTTAGGTTGGCAGCGTAGTAAGACTGACATTTTGAAGTTCAAACATGGAAGTACCCAACGAAGTACCTACCTGTACTAACTAGTAACTGCCAACTTAAGATATGAGTTACCAAAAAAACACGACTATAATCACTGTCTACAAAATCATCATTGTGACACCGAAATAGAAAAAAACTGTTTTTGTGTCTTACATCCTTTATGCCTAATATGCCTACACTGCCAAAAGCAATAATAATTTGTTGTATGTGCCGTTTTATTACTAAACAGTAAATTGTTCAAATTCCCATATAATTTTGAACACTTGAATGGCCGACCGCGTGGTTACACCTCTCTTTTTTTTTTAATTTTTACGTATGTTTGTCTATTGGTTTTATTTTTTTTTTTATTTTAATGTCGCAAGCCAACATATAATTAATAATTGTAATTCCTAATTAGAATTAATTTAGTTTTGTTGAAAAAAATATTTTAGTTTTTTTATTATTTATTTTATATTCTCGCACATCGCCCGTGATAGTATTACAAGCATGTTACGCCGCTTGTTATTCAGAAAGTTTAAATTATATTTAATTTGAACTTCCGAAGGAGACTGGACGTTAATTCTTTTTTGATCGCCCGTTATAAAGCCACTGTAACAGAAACTACAGTGACCGTACAAAGACAGTGTG